TCACCTCCCGGGCAGGGATCAAACTCGTGCTGAAATGGCTTTAGCTTCTTAGTGCTGTGCTTTAACCTGCTGCGCCACCAGGGAGGGCCTCCAGTCTGTGTTTTAAGGTGTATTTTGACCTTTGATCTCTGAATTGTCTGTAGTCCTGCAGAATTTACAGGGATGAGGCATTGTGGCCCCCAAGTTTGTTTTCCAGTCTGTGTGTTGGAGTATGTCTGGGTGCCAGATGGTTTTTGGAAACAGAAAGACTCATGAATTCACACCCCTCAATCAACAAATCAATCTGTAGTCAACAAACTTTTTGGCTCCCAGATCTGCTCTGATCAGAATGGGGGAGAAGAGTGAAGGGTGCTTTCTTTTCAAAGACCCTTCAGTCTAGCGAGGCAGATGGGCCCAACACAGCTGTTGGAGAATGGGATACCCAAGAATGAGGTTGGAAGTTTCATCCTCTAAGTTAGAAGTTGCTATTTTGTACCCTGCAAGGTGGTTTTAAAATTCCTGAGTCGGTTGCCAGTATTTATAAATCTGGAGATTTCACATAAAAAATCTGAATATTTGGCTTCTCTTAAAAAATGGGAGGATCTGGCAACCCCGAGCCAGTAGTCCTGCGTGGCAGCCTCGTGTGAGCTGGGGAGCAGCAGCCCCCGTTTGGGTGGGAACTTTCTGCACTGTGGGCCATCCCCCCCACCCTTAGCCTCCCAGACTGTGTCTCTAGTTTGCTCTTAACTTTTCATGGCTTTCTTTAAATGCATCAGGAGCATCTCTGTGGGCTAGGAATGGGAGAGAAAACCTAAGTATGGCAGGTGGGCTTGCGACCAGCAGCCAGCCTGTAGGTTGCAGTGAGCGGGAGAAGCCAGACCTTCAGTGTCCCTCTGGGATGAGGAGTGGGTATGCCTCAGGCCAAGAGGGAGACAGACTGCAAGATGTCAAGAGGCCCTGCTCCTAGCAGCTGATAAAGTTCTTTGGTGGCCTGATCTGCGATCTGTGGCTGGAGATGTGCTTGCCTCTGACCCAGGCAAAGAAAGGAAATGCCGCTCCCCACCCCCACTCTACTCCCACCGGTGCTGCCCTGCGGCTGGCATCAAAGCTGTGCTGCCCAGACACTGTTGAGAGCAGCCCAGTGACTTCCCTTGCATCTGCTTTGTAAAGTGCACCCCGAGCAAATTAACCAGAAAAAACAGTATGAGGTTTGTATGGAATCATAAACAGCCAAGCAGCAGTGCTTTCTCGCCTGCTCATTGAGGGGTGTCCTGAGATTCTCTAACTGCGCATGCTTTGCGGGGGCTCACAGCAATGGAGGGCAATGAATGGCATTTCAGAGCCGGGGTGCAAGAGAGGAAAGGATCATTAGTGGTCTTGACAGATGTGGGGGTTGGGATTGAGATTTGCTTAAGCTCGCACAGCTGGGCCTCCCTGGTGGCCAAGAGGTCAAGTCTCAGCTCCATCCTGCCATCACCACCGCAGCCTTAGTTCGATCCCCGGCCAGGGAGCTGACCCACATGGCGCAGCAGATTCTCCTGCATTGTCTGCTGCTCCCCTCAGCAGTGTATTTCAGTAGATCCATCTGTTCTGCTCCCCACTCTGTCTCTGGTGAATCCTCTTACCTCTACCACTGGCCTATACCCCAGTTCTTGTATGCAAAATAAATAAATCTTAAAAAAATAAAGATCATGCAGCTGGTCAGTGCAGATGCAGGAGTGGGGCTGAGCCTCTGGCCTTTCACCTGGCTTCGCTTCAGAGGCTTCAGTTGCTTTATAAAATGGAACAGCTTTCTGGCCCCCCCTCTGGAGTTACTGAGAGGTTGTGAAGCATAGTGACGTGTTCTTCCCTCCTGTGGGGGTAGCTGTCTTTCTCCTGAGGTGTTGGTGTGACCTCTTTTATTTTTTTGAATGTGGATTTCTCATGGGACTCAGGATAGTGCTGGTCAAAAGAATGGATTCTGGGGCTTGTCCAGGTTTGGATTCCAGATTCACCACTCATACTCTGTGTGACTATGGTCAAGTTACTTAACCTCTCTATGGTTCCATTTCTACATCTGTATGACAGCGTTAATAATAATACCTGCCTCATTGGATTACAGAGAAGTTTAAATGAGATAAAGCATTTATAAACCTCTGGTACTGACAAAGCTAATACCCATAATCTGTCATTATTAGCGTTATACAAAAATTTTTCCTTTTTACTTCGGCAGCCAGGCAACTCACTATCCAATTCAGACCTTATCTTTAGGATCTAATGGCTCTCATTTCTGTTTCCCGAACACTCTCCTGGCTTCTTTAACGTTTGGCTTTCATTTTCCCTATCAGCCTGTATGTTATTGTATCATATGCTTTATTATAAGCTGTTTCAAAATAAGGTTGGAATTAAGAAAATACAGCAATAGGTTGATTCAGACTTGTCACACTGGCCAGGGGCATCGAGGATGATCTTGAGTTAGGAGAAGCTGTGTTTTTCAAAAAAAATGATAGCTAATGTTCTGTCCTAGACATTGTCACACATCCTTTATGCACATCACCTTAAGCCTCATAGTTGTCCTCCGAGGTGAGGCCTATCATCCCATTTTGCAGTTGAGGAAATGAAAGCTCGGAGAAGTGGAACAACTCAGGGAGTGGTTTGCCAGCTGCCAGCGCAGAGCCGGGGCTCGGATAGACCCTGCCTCACTCCAGCACACCCTTCCCCTCCGTTTGATATTCTGTTGAGCTCTGGGGAGCAAAACTGGAAGGATTTCGGTCAGCTGACTGATGTTCCTCTTCCCATTTCTCTGTCACCTTCTCTTTGCTTCTGGGGACCCAGAGCCCATGAGGGCCCCCAAAGGCCTGGCTTTTGCAGAGATCCAGGCCCGCCAGCTGACCTTGCAGTGGGAGCCCCTGGGCTACAACGTCACGCGCTGCCACACCTACACCGTGTCCCTCTGCTATCACTACACCCTGGGCAGCAGCCACAACCAGACAGTGCGGGAGTGCCTGCAGATGGAACGGGGTGTCAGCCGCCACACCATCAGGAACCTGCTGCCCTACAGGAACATCCACGTCCGACTCATCCTCACCAACCCTGAGGGGCGCAAGGAGGGCAAGGAGGTCACCTTCCAGACGGACGAGGATGGTAAGAGTCCTCGCGCGGTTCCGGGGCCCTGAGAGCCTCTTGTAGCTCCCTGTGTTGGAGACCAGCAATTACGGGAGTTTTTTTTTTTTTTTAGCTTAATGGAGGATTAAGCCAACGGTCTAACAACAAAGCAATATAACTACTATTTATTCTTTGGGAGGCTTTGGGGTAGATTGGTATAATTTCTTCCTTAAATGTTTGGAAGAATTCAGCAGTGAGACCCTTTGAACTTGGAATTTTCTTTGTGGCAAGTTTTTTTAGTAATGGCTTTAATTTTTAAAATAGATGTTGGAATATTCAGATTTTCTACTGTAACAGTGTTGGTGTACTGTGTTTTTTTAAAAAACGATTTCTTTATTTGTGCATACACAACTGGGGTACAGGACAGAGGCTCAAGGGTGGTGAGAGGCTTCATCAGAGACAGAGTGGGGAGCAGAACAGGCAGATCGACGAAGTACACTGCTGAGGGGAGCAGTGGGCAGGTCAGGAGAGGTCTGCCATGCCATGGGGTCACCTCCAGGGCAGGCGGGAATCGAACTCATGCGGAAGTGGCTTTAGCTTCTCAGTGCTGTGCTTTAACCCGCTGCGCCACCAGGGAGGGCCCTGTGTACTGCATTTTTAAGGAATTTGTTTATTTCACCTAAAATTTCAGATTTCTTGACATAAGTTGGTTATAGTATTCTCTTATTTAATGCTCACGGCATTCATTGTGATATCTCTTTTTAAATTTCTGTTATTGGCAATTTGTGTCTTCTCATTTTTTCCTTGTTCATTCTTGCAAGAGGTGTCTTCATTCATTAATCTTTTCAACGCACCAACTTTTGACTTAGTTGATTTTTAACTGTATATTTCCTATTTTTTATTTTCTTTTTAATACTTTCTTTGAATTTGATTGGTGTTCTTTTAGCTTTATGAGAGGAAGTGTGTAAGATAATTTGTTTAGAGGTTTTCTTCATTTATAACACATGCATTTGACACTATCATCAATTCCCTCTCAGCCCCATTTGAGGTGTTTCCCAGGAGTTTTGATATATCCTCTCTTCAGGATCATACACGTCAACGTATTTTGAAATTCCTGATATGACTTTTTTCTTGACCTAAGAGTTGTTTAGAACTGTATTACCTAACTTCTAAGCAATTGGTGCTTTTCTAATTCTGTTTTCGTTACTGACTTCTAACCTAACTCCACTGTGTTCACAGTGCCACCCTGAAATTAACAGGCTCTAATTTAGGGCTTAAGAAACTTGATCCTTCCTTTATAAACCAGCATATGGTTAAATTTTGGCAAATGTTTCATGTGTACTTGAAAAAAATGTGCATTCTGTCACTGTTGAGTACAGTGTTCTACTTATGTCAAGCTAATACTTATTAAACATTTGCTACATGTCAAGCACTGTTCTGAATGCTTTTCACATATCAATGGTATAATCCCCATGACAACCGTAAAAGTACAGGAGAAAATTTCCCCTGCCCCTCTGAGGTTCTTTTCAGGCTGGTTGAGCAAACAAATTAACATCAGACATATTACTAGGAGAAAAGGAACAAATTTAATTGCATATGCATGTTTGCTTGGCCAGCCCAAGAAAGACCTCAGAGGGGCAAGGGGATATTTCCCTGTGTCCCAACAGTTTGGCGACTCAGATGGGACCCACTTCATTGACTGGATACTGTTCCTGCTGGCTGCTGCAGAGAGAGATCCTGGAACCCCTGACAATAGCTGGTAAAAGGTAAAAATTTTTACCTGTTATTCTTCTGGATCTCTATTTGCAGGGGTCCAATGGAAGTAAAAGTGGTGAGATTTTTTTCTCTCTCTTTTAAAATCAAGACCGCTAGGAGCAAAGTATTAGGGGAGCTTATTTTGTTCATTCGAGATGGAACATTCTGGTTTGACTATTCTTGGTGGACCCTTTTCTCTCAGAGAATGTTCATGTTTCATAGTCTTTCCTATGTTGTTATAAGGAGGGAAAACCTTGAGGTGGACTCAAGGTAAGACTATGGCTCAGAAAATCTTGGGAACCAAAAGGCTGCAAATTTGCTGGGCTTGGGTCAAGCATTTTAAAGCTTAGCACTTTAAAAAAGTTCCCCATGACTTCTTTAATCACAGAATAGGCTAATTAGCAGCCACCAGCCATAAACACAATCCATGCAAGTAGGCAAGCACTCTGTAAAAGCAAAACAAAACGAAAATAACCTCAATCCTGTGGCAAATCTCTTAGGTCCAAGTTTGACTGCAAGAGCGCTAAGGCTTAGTGGAAGTCATTACTGTTCATTAAATCTTTCCTTTTTTGCATTTTATATGACTTTGTGACTTTAGGTTTTTGTGACCTATCTCTCTGTTCTTTGCTAACTGAAGGATGAATGTCCATGTACATTACGTGGGCAGCTATAAGTTGTTTTGAGAGAGGAATTTTTATGACCACATTAGGTTCTTTTCGGGAAGTGAACTTTTCTGGATCTTGTGATGTTGATTGGTTTGAGTCACCATTAAATGGGAAAATTTCTAAATTGAAAAACTGTAAAAGCTCTCATTCTGAATACTCATCTCATTGGTAGTTGTGAAAGATTGACTTGAAAAGAAAATGTAAAGGATTATCTTGGCTTGCCTCAGGGAATCTCTTAATAAGGTCACACTTAAAATTACATCTTAGAGGGGGACAGCCTCCCCCAGCCTTCAGACCTCCTATGAAATAATCTTTATGCCAAAGAGACATTTTGGGGATAGCAGATTTTGTTTCTTTCCACACCCCTTCTGGGCACTGTTGCTGTCCCCATTTTGCAGATCAGGTCACGTAGCTCATGTCTAGTAGCAGATTTGGATTTCATGTCTGGCCATGTGGTTTCAGAGTTGTCATTCTGTTTTTTTTTTAATGATTTATTTATTGGCCCTCCCTGGTGGTGCAACAGGTTAGGACGCAGCACCGCAAGCTGGCCGCAGCCGCTTCAGTGCGAGTTCGATTCCTGCCCTGGAGGTGATTCACATAGTGAATCAGACCTCTCCTGACCTTTCCGCTGCTCCCTTCAGCAGTGTACTTTGTCGATCAGCCTGTTCTGCTCCCCACTCTGTTTCTGGTGAAGTCTCTCACCGCCCCTGCTCCTCTGACTTGTACCTCATTTCTGTATGAATAAATAAATCAATCTTTAAAAAAAAAGATTTACTTATTTATGCATACAAGAACTGGGGTACAGGCCAGAGGTGGAGGGGGGAGGCGGGTGGTGAGAGAGTTCGCCAGACAGAGTGGGGAGCAGAACAGGCAGATCTACCTAAATAACACTGCTGAGGGGAGCAGGGGTGGGTCAGGGGAAGTCTGCCTCGCCTTGTGGGTCAGCTCCCTTGCCGGGGATTGAACTCCTGCTGCAATGGCTGCAGAGAGCTTCATAGTGCTGCGCTTTAACCAGTTGTCAGTTGTGCCACCAGGGAGGGCCCCATCCTTTTTTTTTTTTTTTTTTAACAGGCCAGAGGTATGGGTTTGAGTAGATTCACCAGAGACAAGAATGGGGAGCAGAACAGGCAGGGCTACTGAAAGACACTGCTGAGGGGAGCAGCAGGCGGGTCAGGAGAAGTCTGCTGCACCATATGGGTCACCTCCCTGGCCAGGGGTCACCTCCCTGGCCAGGGTGCTACAGTGGCCATGAATGGCTTCATAGTGCTGCACTTTAGCCCACTGCGCCACCAGGGAGGGCCCCAGAGTTGTCATTCTTAACAGCCACACTATTGCCAGCACAATTCCAAAGCCATCCCCCCTAACGTGCCGTGTTCTGCTCCTTCCACAGGGCCCAGACATCACACTCAGCTCCTTCTCTCATTTCCGTCACCCTCACGTGAGGCCGCATGGACACGCTCTGTCCTGCACTGATGGCTGAGGGTTTGCTGGGGCGGGCGTGAGTCCTGGAGGGCTTCACCCCGAAACACTGCAGATAGACAGGAAAAAAACACAGTGTCTTTTTCTTCTCCTTTTAGCTGGGTTCCTGTAAATTAGACATAGAAAAAACAGGGAAAAACAAGCAGCAGTTTATTCACATGTGCTTCACACATACATGTGGGAGTACTCAGAGATGAGTAACTCAAGGCGGTGCTTAGAACTGTGGCTTCACCAAAGGACAGTATATTTATTGAGAAGAAAGAAGACAAAACAAAAGGCTCTGAGCTCCCGGGGGGCAGCAAATTAAGGGAGGATAGTATGGGGGGGGGGAACTAGTGGTAGATGAAAGCGAGTTAGTGAAGTGGGTTACAGAGAGTCCTCAGACCTAGAGCTGGCTCAGTGATTGACTTCTGCCCTTCCTGATAAAGGGTTGGGGGGGGGGGCAGGCACCTTTACAAGTGTCTATCCTGCTTTTAGTCAGAAGCTTTTTGTATTTGCTTCTCATTTCAGCTCCAAATAATCCTTATGCCAAGATGGCATATTTGGGGATGGCATATGCTGCTCTTCACAGACCACCTAAAGCTGAACATCATGCCATTCTGTTTATAGTTCAGTGGCCCTGCATCCTTATGACCCCCCAAGATATGTTATGGCCCCACCCTGGCTAGGCCTCACTTGGGCTGCTTCTTTCTTCTTACTTTTCTCTCTCCTTACCCCTCCCTCCAATAACTGCTCATTATTTGACATATACATATATAAATATTTTTTAAAGATTTATTTATGCATGTAAGATCTGTGGTATAGGCCAGAGGTGTGAGGGTGAGAGGATTCACCAGAGACAGAGAGGGGAGCAGAACAGGCAGATAGACTGAAATACACTGCCGAGGGGAACAGTGGGCGGACAGGAGAGGTCTGCAACACCATGTGGGTCACCTCCCTGGCCTGGGATTGAACTCATTTAGAGAGTTTCATAGTGCTGTGCTTTAACCCCTTGCACCAACTGGGAGGGCCCTATTTAATATTTTTTATTTTTCATCTTTTGGGCTAAAAAAAAAAAAATCATCCCATACCCCTCTGGGCCTTTCTGGGTTGACAAATTATCTAACACCAGACACATTGATAAGAGAAAAAAACAAAAGAGACATCAGTGTAGACAAGAGAGAGACCCACCGCCACAGAGCTTCACATACCATCTTCAACAGCTTAACTAAAATAAGAGAGGTTAGAAAGCAGGGAGGTCAGCCAGGTTTTACCAGGGGAGAGAGAGTAAATATGGGTATGCAGATTTTAATTTTGCTTTTTCATTGAAAAGTGATAAGGAGATTAGAGCTTCCTATACAGTGAAGGAGTTGCCCTTTGAAAGAGAAATTTACATATAAATGTCTTTTTCAAAAGCAACCTCCACTCAGCTTTCAGAGCCCCTCCCAGTGGAATCAACCTTTTTTGCCAAAGACAGAATTTGGAGTGGCAGATGTTTGGTCCCCAACATTGATGTATTAGCATAATGCTTACAGGAAGTGTGCTTATGTTAAGTGGGCAACTCAATGAATTCTTGTAGACTGGACACATCAGGATGAACCACCCCCAGACCAAGAAGTAGCATCACCAGCACCCCAAAACCCACCCTCTATCTCCCAAGGGTAGCCATCATCCTGACGTATAATGCTATAGATTAATTTCTGATTGGTTTTGAACTTTTTATCAGTGGACTTATACAGTGTTGTTTTTTAAATAACTGGTTCCTTTCTCTCAATTCTGTGCTTGAAAGATTCACCCATGGTGCATGCGCACTTCTGGAGAATTTGTTCTTACTGCTGAAGAGTTCATTATGTGAATATAGCATGTTTATTTAGCCTGTTGACTACTGTTGGGCACTTGGAGTGTTTCCAGTTTTCAGATACTTTAAATTGTGCTGCAAATAAATTCCTTGTAGTTCTTTCTTTCTTTTGGTAGATAGATAGACACATTTATGATGGCTTTGTGCTTATGAGTAGATCAGCTAGGTTGCAGGATATGTGTTCATCATAAGTAGATGATAATATGCCAGACAGCTTTGTCTTTGGTGGTGTAAACTTATACTTCCCACTAGCGGTGTGTGAAAATTGGCATCCTCCCAGCACTTCAAATTATCTTTCATTTTTCCCTTGTGGGGCGTGGGTAGTGTCGTTGCCTAGTTAAATGTTCATTTTAACGCAGAGCGCTCTAGCTTCCCTTGATTGTCCATTGTTTCCTCCTATGTTAGGATTTCTGTTTCTCCACAATGGTTTATCAAGGTGTTTAACCGAAGACCACGCTTCCTAGGAGCAATTCCTTGTGCCTGATGTTAAGATAATCCATTTCAAGCAAGAGCAAAATGAAGAAAAACTGTACCCAAAAGGATTTCTGCTAAAATGTTACTAGTATTTACCTTTGGTGATGGAATGATACGTGCCCATTAATTTTCTCTGCTCATTTTGATTTTCTGCATTGAACGTATTGTTTGTGTAATTAGGAATTTTTAGACAAGAAAACATCTCCACCCATAATCTTGACACTGCAATGCAATTGTTGCTTTCGTTTCTCTGGCAAATGTCTATATTTTCTGAAAACTACTCAAGTGGAACAAAATAGCAGCATTCAAACATTCTGTACTGAGGTGGCCTGCTCAGTCATGAATATGCCAGCTATACTTCTGGAGAACTCAGAAATAAGTTGAACCAAATGAATTTGCTGACATTGGCCAGAGCCTTAAGTAGTCCATCATTTAATTTTGGTGAGGGAGGGGTTATCATTGTGCAGATGGGGAAGCCAAGGCTCAGAGAGGTTCAGTTTTCCAGGGTGTCAGCCACGAATTGGCAAGACTGGCACCCGATCCTAGGTTTCTGGTTCCAAAGGCCACTTTCCCCCGGCCCATGCTGCCTTTCCCTCTCAGTGCCTGGCGGGATTGCAGCCGAGTCCCTGACCTTCACACCCCTGGAGGACATGATCTTCCTCAAGTGGGAGGAGCCCCAGGAACCCAATGGCCTCATCACTCAGTACGAGGTGGGTTTGGACCCTGTGACAGCAGGGTCCCCTCGTGGAAGGCAGCACGCAGCTTGGAGGGGGAGGCTCATGGGCTGGGCCAGAGGTGGCCAGCAGGATGCTTTCAGCTAAGGCCAGGGTCTGGCCCGTGGATTTGGGGAAGGCAGTAGAGAGGCGGAGGTGTCCAGAGCCCCGAGCTCATACGAATCCACCTGAACCCTGACGGGTGGGAGGCTTCTGGCCAGTGACACCCTTCCTCCCCTTCCTCGTCCCACTGCCCACCTGCCTGTCCCTCCTGCCCCCAGATCAGCTACCAGAGCATCGAGTCGTCAGACCCGGCCGTGAACGTGCCTGGCCCACGACGGACCATCTCCAAGCTCCGCAACGAGACCTACCATGTCTTCTCCAACCTCCACCCGGGCACCACCTACCTGTTTTCTGTGCGCGCCCGCACGGGCAAAGGCTTCGGCCAGGCGGCACTCACTGAGATCACCACCAACATCTCAGGTGGGTCCTGCCTGCCTTCAGCCTGGCCCCTGCGGAGGCGGCCCAGAGTCCCAGGGTTCTGCCGGCAGAGGGGAAAGTGGGGTCCTCCTGGGGTGGTTATAGGGGGCCCCTTGCTGAGATGTGTGTACTATTTATTTACGTATTTAGTTAAAAAGTATCTTTCTGCTCTTATTTTTTTATTGGTGTTTTGCTTTAGCAAATGTTTCAGTGTTTTAGATTTGCAGACGACTGCATATGCTCGGGCTTTGTTTGACATTATGCTTCCATAGCTGTGATTTTCTACTTGACTTTCTGCCTCTTTAGGGGTTGAGGTCAGGGGCCAGGGAGGACCACGTTGGAGGGGTGAGGACACTTGGTCAGTGGCATCGGAGGGCTGAGGTCAGGGGCCAGGTCAGAGGGCAAGGCTGCTAAGGCTCAAGACAGTGAGCTGTGAGGACAGCGCCAGAGGAGCCTGAGGCCGGGTCTTCCTGGCCTGGCGTCCAGGCCCTGAGCTAACATGCCTGTCCCTCCCCAGCTCCCAGCTTTGACTACGCTGACATGCCATCACCCCTGGGCGAGTCCGAGAACACCATCACTGTGCTGCTGAGGCCGGCCCAGGGCCGAGGTGCACCCATCAGGTGGGGACTTTTCTCCTGGATGGAGGGGGAGGTCAGGGTCGTAGGGAAGACACCCCTCGGCTCCCCAGGGCCCCACCCCCAGGCCAATCTGCCCTCGTCCTAGCCATCTCCTGCAGCTCTCCGTGTCTGGAGGGCTCTCTGCCCCTGGGTAGGCGGAAAGCTGTGGTTGCTTCCCCTGAGGAGCCTGGTGTCTGGCAGTGATTGTCATCAAAGCCCTGGCCAGGGTCTAGCCCAGAGAGGATCTGTCCAGGCCTCTCTGGGGGGCGTTTCTTCAAAAACCTTGGGGAAGTGGAACCCTGCCTGGAGGTCTATTTCTACTCAGCTTTTTTCCTGGAGAGTCCTGCCCAGGGAGCCATAAAAGGCTTTCTAGAAGGCCAGGGCAATCAGCCAGATAAAGCCATCCTTCTGGGTGGCCAACTGCTTGAGTTCTCCACTTTCTTCTTCCCAGAGGAGGCTGGGGCCTCTGGTGGCGTAGCGTTGCCTCTGCTGGGGAGAAGGTGCTGGGACAAGGTGGCATGTGTGTGAGTGTGGATAAAGATGTGGCATGTGGCATGGAGGTGTTGTGCGCGTTGAGAGAGGGCAGGCAGTGCACATTCTCCCTGTCAGCCAGACACCGTGAGGGGGCTGCCTGCAGGAGCCACTCAGTCCTCGTGGCGGCCTCTGCAGTGGGTGCTGCCACCAGGCTCCCAGAGCCCGAGGCCACACAGCTGAGTGATGGAGCTGGGAGTGGAACCCAGGTCTGCCTGGGAAGTCTGCCTCGAGGTGAAGCCAAGGGCCCTGCCCCTCTGGCCTGCTCGCTCCTTCCACTCTAAGAGAGGCTGACAGCCTGTGTTTCAGCATGGGAAGGTCCTAGCCAGCCCCCCAAAGAGGCTCAGGGGTGCCCTTGACACCCCTCACCAGCCCACCTCTTTTCTCCTCCTTTGTCTCCCTGTATTGGCCACTGCAAAGTCTGCTCAGGGGAGACCTGGCTAAAGCCTGGCTCCTGTGGGGCTCTTCTTATTTTACAGGCGTCTCTGGGGTCTCGCACAGTTGCCTCTGTGAGGCTCTAGGAAGCCCAGTTGTGTCTTCTTCTTTCCTGGTCTTCTTGAGGGGGCATGTGAGGCCCAGTCAGTGTCTCAGGGGTGATGTGATGCAGGCTGGGCAGGGGGCAGGCGGGGGTGGAACAAGGCGAGAGGGGAGCGGCACGGAGGCTGTGCCACCTCAGGCCTGTTCCTTCACTTCTCTGATCTCCCTTTCCTCACCTGCATATCCAGGACCCTCCAGCTCCAGATCCACTTTTTTCATGACTGATGTTGATTATTATCATCTGGTGGTTCTTGGGGTGGGGGAGACCTGACCTCACACTGAGGGAATAGGGCCTTAGAGGAGAAGGGTGGTGTTTGCCATGGGCAAGTGAGAGGGATCAAGTCAGGGCGGACAAATCCCAGGGTGCTGGTGACTCCCCCACAGTGTGGAAGCTCAGAAGAAACAGCGGGACAGCGAGGCTACATCCCCTAGCACAGGCTGCCAGTGTGGGGTGTCCCTGTTAGCTGGCTGTCTCCCCCCAAGAGGTCAGTTCAGGACATCTGGGTCTCCAAGTACCCAGCACGGGGTGCGTGTCTGAGCCCAGGAAGCAGTTTCTGAATGTCTAACTCTGGCAGATGGAGCTGTAGGTAACCCGGGGGTGGAGCCAGAGGCGTGGGGTCCCCAGGTCCTGGGTCAGGCAAGGAGGCCACGCTGAGGAGTCTGGGTGGGAACTGAGGAATATGGAGCAGGACCCACCTTCTCCCACCTTCTGCGGCCTCACTGACAGCTCATCGCAGTGAACGGGCACTGACCGCCTGCTGCATCTGCTGTCCTACACACACTGCATGCAGCAGCCGGGCCTGTGGTCACTGATTTCACAGACGCCCAGGGGGAGAGGACAAATGATTTCCCAGCTTGAAGCAGGGAAGAAGAGCAGAGATCAGCCCCAGAAGGCCCTGACCCCAAAGCCTGTGCCCTTGGCCACAGTGGTCACTGCGCTTCCCTCCCTGCCCGGCCCTGTGGTCACTGCGCTCCCCTCCCTGGCCGGCCCTGTGGTCACTGCGCTCCCCTCCCTGCCCGGCCCGTGGTCACTGCCCTCCCCTCCCTGCCCGCCCC